GGTCAAATTAGACATAGGCTAGCAAGCGCTGGTATGGTGTTGTGTTATATCATAAAATTCTAGTGTCCTTTCAACACTGACTGAGACCTCAGGTTTTTTTATGTCAGTCTCTGAGCCATGTGGGTGGAGAACCTTAACAATTCTCCGCACAAGTAACCCGAATCAATAAACTTTCCACTTGGAATTTGAACCAGGACCATTGACATTGAATGTCCAACATGATGGCAACTGAGGTAAAGGTGTATCCCATACGCTGTGTCCCTCCACTCAACAATGTCTGTATGTCTACTGTACCTCAGTCACCACTAACAATGCCTACACTACAAGTAAAGGGGAAAGGGCGAAGGAATGAGCAGAGTTGGGCTGTCAACTCAATTAGCTGTAGAAATCACCAATCGATCCTGTATGTGCATGAACGTGCTTTGTTTGTTTGATTGAAGGGGTAGCACATAGTAGACACAATAATTGCCATTTAGTGTAAGGTAAATGTATGATGTTTTTAGTTTCAGCAAAAGTTTTACAGCACTTGCAACACAATAAGGTCATATAAGTGCCGAAGATTAGAGGTGTCACAAGAGAGTAACAAACATAAAAAAGGAGGAGAGATAAAGAGGATAGTTGTTCAATAGGAAAGAAGGAGCAAACCACACTAGAGCACCCGCCAACCACCCAGTGTATGATGTGTATAGGTTTTACACCCCTATCAACACTATTAAGTTATTCAAAGGGGGGGGGGGGGGGGGGGGGGAGGGGACCTCCCAATTCAACATCCATCTCAAATACGGCCGAGCCAAAATGGCTGAGAGCCTTGAAAACTCCACAAAGCAACCCAAGTTCAAGAATGTCCAGACTGGGATTTGAACCAGAGTCATCCACTCCCTAGTTCAGCATGATACCAATTGAGGTAACAGAGCACCCACTGTTCTTTAGATCTGGTGAAAAGTATGACATTTGGGGGGAAGACAGGTGCACCAGCAGTGCCCTTCCATCATCCGTGCTTTTAGTTTTAGTAAGTTTTACGGCACTTGCAACACAATAAGGTCATACAAGTGCTGAAGATTAGACGATAGTAGTTTGATAGGAAAGAAGGAGCAAACCACACTAGAGCACCCACGCTTTGAACTATATCTTTTTGGGGGTTTTTGTAAAGTGTTTTACGGCGCTCGCAACTGCATAAGGTCATATGAGCGCGCGGGACACACCTAATATTTTCAGTTGGTAGGAAATTTTTAATTT